CCTCCACTGCCCTCCCAGGCCACAGCAGAGAGCTGGACTGGAAGAGGGGCAACTGGGACAGAATCCGGCACCCCAGCCGGGACTGAACCTGGGGTGCTAGCGCTGCAGGCGGAGGATTAGGCTAGTGAGCCGCGGCGCCGGCCAAAATAATCTTTTTAAAAAATGTTTTGTTAATGTGGGACATTGAAGGAAAGGGTAATAGTAGTGGAGTTAGGAGTGGAAGTCTATTATTCTAGACTATTTATGATAAATCAAGCAACATTTTTTAAATTGAATCTCAAATACTATGTGAATATAGTAACAGGCTGTTTTATTCTTTGAAAATGCCGAGATATTCTTCTCTGCATGTTTGTTCTAAAAATTGAAAGTGGGGAAAATTTTAGTGGCAAATTCAATACGGCAGGCTCAAGAATGGAAGCAAAGCACATCTGTTTCCCTCCTCAGCCTAGAAAAAGAGGTACACGCTAACACAGTAAGGGAGTAAGAGACGGGGGCACAAAGGGAAGGAAAAGGAAGGGAAACCATGAACAAGTGAGGGCAGACACAAAGGCGTGGAGAGCAGGTCTCAGGTGAGGAATGAAGACTCTCAGGGGAGCAGAGCTCGGTGTGGGGACACTGGAGCAGCCTGGTCACAGGGTACAACACAGGGAGAAACAAGAGAAGGTATAGTCATTTACATACGGATGGGTCTACTTCCTACGCCTGCTCCCGTGAGCTGAATACTCAGCAGGTAAGATACTGGCCTGGGTAGACAGAGGAGTGGGTGAGGATTCCTCCCTGCTGAGAACGAACAGATTCCGAGACAGGGCCTCTGCACTCTGGGGTTTAGGGCCCCTTCCCAGTAATTGGGTTCCTCACCTGACTGAGGTTGTGATGAACAAGCTAGCGTTCCCACCCCCCAGTTAGCTTTTCACCGCTCTCCAGTGTAGGAGGATCATTGACGAGAGCCCCTACCACAAGTATGTGACTTGGATGTGCGTTGCTTCCATAAAACAAGTGCAGGAGGCTGTGGAAAATGGACAGCCAGAGCCAAGAAAACTCTTTTGGGGATTACAGTGTGGTTGAGAAGAAGAAGTTTTAAGATATCGTTGAGGAGGTCTTTCCCAAATTAGAAAAAGGAAAACATTAGAAGAGGGTAAGAAACATACTGAATCAGTCAGAGACCTAAACTCCAACCAGTGGGGGCTCCCAAAAAAGGAAACGGGAAAAGCAGAGGGTGGGAAGTTGCAGAGGAACTGACGCGTAAGGGTGTGTGTCTCTGCAGTGAGAGGCCCTCTCAAGTTGCTAGTGCGGGATACAGAAGACCCTATACCTAGGCACGTTTGAATGTTACATACTTAGAGAATATCCCAGAAGTTCAGAAAAAAGGCTAACCCACAAATAATGGGCATCAGACTGCTAGCAGACTTCTCCTCTATGACACTGAAGACCACAATGTCTTCAAAGTTCCAAGGGAAATTGACTTTCTACTCGAACGTTTTTGCCTGGACAGCCAACCACGTGGGAAAGAATGGACTCCTTTTCAGTTATTCAAGAACAAAAAGAAGCCACGCATCCCGGGGGACAGTGGCTGTTAGCTAGAAGTCTTGGGTGACAAGACCACAGTTAACCAGAGGTGGGGAGGTGGCTTGTATGGACAGGGAACTCAGTGTTTGCCTGCACACGGGGTAGAGAGAACATTCCAGCGGCTTACAGCAAAGTGTGGCAGTGTCCCCACTTTCAGGCCAGGGGGATTCTCTCCTTGATTTACCCTTGGTTCTGGTATGTGTCTCTGTGTTGTAACACGATGCGTCTATTACTGTTTCTTACAGTTTTAGGGGTTAGGTATTGACTGGCTAAGCTGGGTGACCTTTGACTGACTTACACCACCTCACGCATCCTTTCAGCATAATTAAAACAGTATGTCTAGCTCTTTTGTGATTTACTGCTATAACTTTAAGATTGTGTTTGCGGGGGATTGATATTTTCAGGTTACAAAGGTAACACTATGTGTATGAGAGTGTGTGCACGCACACACCCCCTTTATTTCCTGGACTCTTGGAACAGTATCTTCCTTTCCCTCCTCTTCAGTACTCCTCTGCTCTCTGCTTCCCTCTTTCAGTCTTCCATAGTTATGCTTTTACATCATCCAGGCTAATGGCATCTGGATTCTGGACCATCACCATAATTACATCTTCCACTTTTACTGCAGATTCATTATAGAAATGCAAACTAAATTTGAAATAAAATTGTAGTATCATAAAAAGTTTGTAGAAAATGGGATGAAAAAATAAGTTTATTTTGGTGCAGAGAATTTTTGAATCCATGCATGGCTTTTTTGTAGCACACATTCTCCGTGAATTTCTTTTAAGACATTTGTATTACTACATAAAGATTATCTATTCCACTACTAGGTGGTATCCAAAGATTGCGTTTCTTTCTTATACAGGTTTTTTGTTTTCTCCAAATGTTTGGGCCCCTGCCATCCACATGGGAGACCCAGATGAAGCTCCTGGCTTAGGCTTGGCCCAGCCCTGGCAGTTGAAGCCAACTCAAGAGTGAACCAGCAAGTGGAAGATCACTCTCTGTCTCTCTCCCTCTTTCTCTCTAACTCGGACTTTTAAATAAATAAATACTTTTTAAAAGTTCATGGAAATGCATATTATGGAAAAACTCTGAATGGATTTCCAAGTTTTCTGCATCAAAATAAACTTCTTTAAATTCCATTTTTTCCATGAAGTTTTTGAAGCCCCCATTTATCTAAAATTCCAAAGATCAACAGGAACTAAAAATCCTGCTTAGTATTTTGGCAACGTGGCAACATGGCACGTGTGAGCTGAGCTCATCCATCGTGGCAGAGAGTGGAGATGATGTCTGATGTCTGAAAGTGGTAAATCACAAAATAACAGTTTAAAATTAAGTGCGAAAAGATGTAGAAATGCCTGTCTTTGGAGGGAGGGACTGCTCCACGGCACATATGGCTTTCACTGAAGTTTTAAAAACCAAAACAAGAAGGCATAACAGAATCGTGCCCTACAACAGGCGCTGTCTTTGCTGGTCACCCGTGGAAATTATCCTGAGATGTTCTTGCACAGTTCCAACAGAAAGCATGTGGGCTTTGCAATCAGAAGCCCTACACACCTTGCCTCGACCTTGCTGTGGTCACGTTCACCGTAATTGTGACCATGTGTGTGCATCACAGCTGTTCTTTGTAGGCACTACTCTGGTTTATTCCCCCAGCATCTCTTTCACCTTCTACTTCCCCTGCAAGTACCTTACATAGTTCGTGCGTCGTTAGACAGTACTAACGATTTGGTGGTGGTTGGAAGGTTGCATTAGAAAATGGCCTGACAGTTGCTGACGCCGGGTTGAGGGAGTCACTGGACTTTTCTTACAGACACACAGTGCTCCAGGGTGCACTGAAACAGACCTGCCCGTGAAGGAGCCTCGTGCAGGGTCCCCCTGCCCTACCGCCTGTCCCCGAGGGCCGGGGACTCAGGCTGGGAGCTGTCTCTCCTCCGGGCGGGAGAGGACCCGGGGGTCCAGGGACGGTGGTTCCCCAGCAACGCCAAGTGCTGAGCACGGGTTTCCTCTCCTGCCACCGCAGCTGAGCGGTGATTAATGCCAGATTAGCACCTTGCTCAGTGACCTTTCGGCATCCACACTGCTCTCCTTCACTTCTCATAACTATTTGCAAATATTAGCCGCTCAGGTCGTTTCTCCTCATCAGCGACTTTCACCGCCGGCAGGCAGGTTGCGAATGTGATTGGCATTCAGTTACCGTCCGCTGCCCTGTCACGGAGGTGTCTGTGCCCTGATAACCAGCCTGTCAGCCCCTGCTCAGTCAGGAAGGGAGCCTGGGGGTGGCTTGGGAGGTAAGGAGCTTGGAGAAGGCTGGGGCTGCCTCCCCCCAACCCCGGGGACTCACGGGTGAGTGGAAGTCAGCCTCACGTCACGTGACCCATGGGTAGGTCTGAAACACTGGTTTGCTGGCTCTGCCTGCATCCGGTTCTTCTTCGTGGACCCACATGCGCCTTTACTGCGAAAGTCACATACTTCCCGGCGGGGATGCGGGCTCCGGGCAGTTGGTGCCGAGGAGCGGGTGGTCCCCTCCTTCCTGTGGATGCCCACTGGCGGGCAGAACTCCCGTTTGCCAGAGTTCTCCTGAGTGCCCTGGCTGCTGGCGGCTGGAAGGGCCGGAGGAAGCATTTTGCATTTGCAAGGCTTTAAATCTATCTTTATTTCCAGGCTGTTACATCCCCACCCTTTATTGAAGTTCCTTTCTAGAAACGTCTGGTTCCCTGAACAAACAGTAGTAAAGCATCCCGGGAGTAGTTTAATTTTGATGTTAAATGTCCTTTAGAGAAAAGTGGTGAAATATGTTGTTTTTTTTTTTTCTCCCTTGTCACCTGCAGTACAAGCTAAATTATTTAGTTTGATACTCACCAAAGAGATGGATTCAGGTTATTTACTTTCCAGAAAAGAGAAAGGGCTTGGAACTACAGTGACAGCACTGCAGGCTGAGCGGGGTGTTTGCTCTGGAGACCCTCACGGGAAAGTTGGCTACTTCTGAAGAGGCTATGCCTCGCAGAGAGCCCCACGCACGAACTGTTCGTGCGGTTGAACAAATGTGAAAATACCAGGGACACTGGGCAGTAAGCAAAGTCTTAGATCAGTTTAAAAAACCAAAACCAGCAAGCATTTCGGAAAGTGCTGGGCAGTCTCAAGCCCTTAGCTGCTCCATGTTCCGTGCAGTTGCATAATGCATCTGTCACACTGCCACCCCCGTGGCTCTGGTCACAGGCTGGGGCTTCACCAGAGGAGGCTGGCATCGCACAGGCCCCGGCTTGAATGGTCTGATGCCCACACGGAGGCCGTGGCTGTGACCATGCCCCAGGGCCCCGTGGATTCTGAGTGTATTTGGAGTGTGCCTTGTCAAGATGCTTCCTCTGTCCTGCTCTGCCCACCCTGTCTTCTGTACGGAGGACGGTTCCACAGCATCTGTGTTTTCTCTGCCACAGGAGACACTGGCACTGCTGAGACCATGGCTCCCACCATCGTGGTGGCCCCGGGCAACAGGAGCGTGGTGGCCGGATCCAGTGAGACCACCTTGGAGTGCATAGCCAGCGCCAGGTACGGATCGGCCCCGAGACAGGCTTGCTCCTGAAAAGCCACCCGCGGCGTGACGCACAGGGGCCGGCTTCTCGAGGGACGAGGTCCTGTCCGTGTTGCTGGGCCCCAGCACAGTGTCTGGGAAGACAGGGAACTCGATGCGATGTCTCCCAGAGAGGAGGCGGAGCTTTTGTATGTGGCCGAGGGTGAAAGAGGGAGGAGTTAATCCCTCCCCCGCTCCTCAGTCCCAGGCCTTCTCTGCCTCCTTAATGGTCGCTCCGGAAGCAAGGCTCCGTGTGCACGCCTCCCGTGTAGCTGTAGTGTCCCGTAGTCATATTTATTTTAAACATTCTTTTCCTGAGCAAATGGAATCATTAGGACTTATGGTTCATTGCGGCTGCAATTAGCTATCCTTGCTCAATAGCCCCTGAGCAGACTGTATCGTGGATGCGTGCCTGAGGGGGAGAGTTATATCTGGATTGATTTTTAAATGTCCATTGTTCAGCCCACCATGGTTCCTGGTAGAATTAGCTTTGTCAAGCTTGCGCTGAATGCCTGAAATTATTATTGCCATCACCATGGCTCACAATTATTGTCACTGATGTCCTTGTCCACACAGGCCTGTGGAAGAGCTGAGTGTGAACTGGAAGAGAAATGGAGTGAGGGTCACCAGCGGGCTGCACAGCTTTGGGCGGCGCCTGACTATCAGCAGCCCCACCTCCGCAGACACGGGCGCATACGTGTGCGAGGCCACGCTGCGCGGAAGCGCCTTTGAACCAGCCCAGGCTAAGGCCTTTCTCTCCATCATAGGTAAGGGTTGCCCAGTCAGTGCTGGTGTCAGCACCCTCACGTAGGCTCCTGGGGAAAACAGCAACACCTGCATTGCACCGACTTTATTTTTAACTCTGCAAGTGGAGACGGGTTGAGTTGATCATCCAAATGCATCCTGTTCTTCTGTTGCAGGATAGAAATCTTTTAAGCCCACAGGGCTGGTGTTCTGAGTGCTCCCAGTCGTAAAGCTGGGGAGCGGAGTGGTGAAGCCCTCATCGCGGGCAGCGCCTGTCTCCTCCAGCGTTTCCACTACCTTTCCTGTAACCCTACACCGGTCTTACGTCGGTGTTCGGAAATTGTTCTATGATGGTTGTGATTTTTGACCCAGAAGAAAGTTAAAAACTATTGGATGTTTTTAACTGAAAAATAAGAACAGAGAGGCTTCCTGAAAGTGGGCCAAGTATTGACCCTGAACCAAGGAGGAGGACGATATAAAATCAAGTGCCTTTGAGTTGCCTGGTTCTGAAGGCTGGAAAATAACAGGTCCGGGGACTGTGCTTTGCTCAGTGGCTAAGAAAATCCCAACTTTCTTATCAGATTAGGATACGATCACATCACGGTGTGAGGCAGGTGCCTGTATTCTCATTTCCCAGCTCCGGTCACACATCTGCTTCTCTGAAGAGCCTGTGACTACTGTCCCAGGGCACCAGGTTCCTAGACGGTGGCTGCTGCCGCTGACAGCGCCCTGGATCCATGGCTGCAAGGCAGGATTCCTTCCTTGCCTCTTCCCTTTGGAAAAGGGGAACTGGGAAGCCCAAACAGGAGGCGGCCCGATGGAGAGCCGGAGCTCCTTCAGTCACGTCCTTGCGCTTTGCCAGCTGGCAAAATAAGAAAGGAAACACATGCAGTTTCCTGCGAAATTAGTGTGAGTGTCAGGACTGCCCATGATAGGAAGTTTGCCCTGGGGTCATCACCATCCTTGAAGTCCCTGGGACCTGGCTCAGTGTCCCGACTAGGACCCTCCTAGCCACCGTGGGAACCGGCAGCACCCTGAAAGAAGTGTGCGAGGGCTGAAAGTGCTGGGCAGAGTGGACCTGGACTCACCAGCCCTTGTTGATTCTGCGCCGGGATCCGAGCTGGTGCCCCGGCGCCTTTCTCGACACGCTCGCTCTCTACCTGTAAATATCACCTCCCTCTCTCTCTAAGACTTTTTCATCCTGGTTGATCTATAGCTCTGTGAGCACAGTACATTACAGACTGAACCGAAATTAAAGTGTGTGATGTATAAATCTCGTGTAGGCAGTACTGTATTGTGTTACAACACTTTAAGGTAATGTAAGCAAGAAAAGAAATGTATCTCTCTGCAAACACAAAGGATTGTTTCTATCATAATTCCTCTTTAAAATATTTAAATCTACCATGGGAACTTGCGTCCATTTATGTCTGAATCCCAGAGTGGATTAGTTCCCTGTCCTCTGGAGCTGCCTTCTGTGTTCCGACTTTTAAAGGGACACGTACATACTTTACTTCTTCATGGCGTTTATTTAAATCCCCTTTTATTCGTAAGGATTTGCTGTGACAGGTAGGACTTGGTGGTGGAGAGCATGCCTCTGTCAACTCGGAAGCGTTGGGTGAGATGACGAGTCCTTGCCCAGCCACCGTGGAGGGATAGTCCGGAAGCATGACCAGTTTCACAGGGCTGCCACTGCAGAACTGTAAAAGAGCTGTCGCTATGAACATGCAGATGAAAGAGAGCAGAAGCAAATTGGCTCCCAATTACTTTTATTTCATCCTGATGAGACAAGACAGACGAGTCGCAGTTGTTTACTCCACCTGTCAACTTCCCTGCTTGTGGCTCAATCTCTGTGGTTTAAACACAGGCACAGAGCTCTCCTCCAGGCGGTGTCGTGGCGGCGGGAACCTGCCTGTCACCCCTCATTGCACGGTCGGTGGCTCCATGATCTGGCATCACCTGACCCGAGCCTTGTTGTGTTTGTTGTTTTGGTTTAATTTGAGAGACAGAGCTCGCATCTGCTGGTTCACTCCCCCAAATGTCCACAACAGCCAAGGCTGGGCCAGGGCTGGAGCCAAGAGCTTAGAATGCAACCCAGTTCTGCCGCCTGGGTGGCTGGAGACCAATCACGTGAGCTATCACGGCTGCCTCTGCGAGTCTCTGTTAGCAGGAAGCTGGAGTCAAGAGTCAGAGCCTGGAGAGGAGCCCAGGCACTCCAGGAGGGGCACAGGTGTCTCCGCCGGTGCCGTGACCGCCAGGCTCCCTGCTTGATCCACAGGTCCATCTTCTCCCAACCTCCCTTCCCACCCTTCAGCAAAGGCACCCCTGCCTCCGCCCTCCACACAGAACCTGACCTCGCCATGCCATTGCTCCATTCCTTGCATACTGAAGCTGCCTGTGCTCACCTTCCTCCCTCTCCTCCCTCCTCCCTCTCCTCCCTCTCCTCCCTCTCCTCCCTCTCCTCCCTCTCCTCCCTCTCCTCCCTCTCCTCCCTCTCCTCCCTCTCCTCCCTCTCCTCCCTCCTCCCTCCTCCCTCTCCTCCCTCTCCTCCCTCTCCTCCCTCACCTCCCTCTCCTCCCTCTCCTCCCTCTCCTCCCACCTCCCTTTCCTTCTTGACCTGTTTTCCAGCCCTGGAGCTGACTGTGCCCCCTGGGGCAGGCAGGATGTGCTGGGGATTGCCGCCCCGGGAGCAGCCCTCAACTGACCTCTGATGGGAGCTGGTGGGTGAACCCCCAGGCTCCCTCACCCCTGTGGGTGGGGGCCCTGTGGCAGGGAGCTCTGGTCACCCACAGGTGTGTCAGCTGGATCATAGTGGTGTCAGCTGATGGTATTCCTGGTACCTCCCACGTCAGCTGTTGGCATCAAACCCTGCCTCGAGTCCCGGGGAAGCCCACCCAGAACCCGAGTCTTGTCCGCTGGGGTCCCTGAGCAGCCCCTGTGCTTGGGATGAATGCCCTGCACCCCCAGTTCCACCCAGTCTGATTAGCCAGAGCTGTGTGTCCCTGGGGGACCCCCCAGGTGTCACCTCTGCTACTCTACTGGCTGTGCGTCCACAGCATCGGGGACACCGAGGGGCAGGGTCTGGGTTCCCGTTCTCACTGCACCTTTCCCAGCCTCTGCCTCTGACACCCTCAGATTCCACGTCCAAAACACGGAGACAGTGTAGGTGATGGTGCCAGCCCATATTGTGAAGATTAAATGAAGGGTGCTCACTGCACCAGTGGGCGTGGTGCCACTATGCCGTATGTCACTCTGCACTGGTGGTCTGCCAGCAGCCAGTAATTGCACCCAGCTTTCCCCGGGAGCCCCTGCAACCAGGGTGTGGCTCATAGTCCGTGGGTACTGTTCTTTCTTGGGGACAATCTGTGGTGTGCCTGTGCTGCATGCGTTGCCCTCGGACCCATGGTTCTGCACGCTGTCTCCTCACCGCACAGTGCCGTGTCATTCCCGCTCATGCCCTCCCCCATAATCTGCATATCCTGGCACACCAGCCTTCTCACACCCACTCGGAAGGGCAGGAGTGTTAGAGCTGCCTCTGGGTGTCTCACATCTCATCACTCAGAAATCAAATACCTTCATTGTTACAGTAACAAATCTGTGTAGCTTCTCTCGGCTGATGCCAATACCATCATTGAGAAATGATTCTGTGGTTATACCACAAGGTCTTGTAGAGGCTCCCTGCCTCACACCTGTCCATACTCGGCAGACTCTGCCTGCCTCCCGCCCACCCTCCTGTCTCCCTGCTATCCTCTCTTCCTTTGCTTCTACTGGGAATCTCTCTGCCCTCTCTCTCCTCCAGTCTCCTGCTTCCCACTGGACAGCGTTCTCTGCTCAGAGGCTCACATGATTAGCCTGGGCCCACTCGGCTAATCCAGGCCTCCTGTTTTGGGGTCTGTAACCTTAGTCACATTTGCAGGGTCCCCCCAGAGCATGCATACAGCTTCCAGGGGTTGCAGGGTGGACACAGGGGACCATTCTTCCCACCACTGTGGGCAAGGGCACCGATGTGGACAATGAGGGCAGCCAAGGGACACTGGAGGACCAGCTGCTCTGTGGGGTGGGCCTTCAGGAGGAGAGGGAGTCAGACGGGGCCGTCTTTGGCCTTTGCTGTGATCCTTATTCACAAAAAGCCCTGAGACTCAGAGCCATGAACCCACACCACAGACAGGAGAGCACACGGGGCCCTTGGTGTGCAGGGGCCATCCCCACCCTGGCTGCCCCCATTGCCAGAGCTCACACTGTCACCCTGGGATTCTGGAGAGGGGGCTTTGATAGAGACCCTGGATTTCAGGGCCACCTGGGAGGGACCCCCACCTCCAGTTCTGAGCCTGTGTGGGTCCTGAGGCTGATTAGCCTGTGCTGCCCTTAACAGTGTGGGTTCACTCAGCACACAAGAACCTTTGCATGACGTCTTCATATTGTTTCAAAGGAGATCAAAGCATTCGTTTCCATCCCCACTTTGATCGGCTGCGGTTGTGATCAATTTTTAAAAGCCCAGTGTGGGCCGTGCACCCTTCCAGAAAGAGCTGTTCCTGATGCACTAAGACGCGCACTCACCCTCTTGCCCTTGGAAGGTCAAGCGTTCTACAGAGGCTATGCCAGGACTCCTAGGTCCCAGTGGACACATGTCAGCTCAGTCCTTCCATGGCTAGGCTGCCCCGTGTTTGCCTCACTTCTGTGCCTTGTCGCAGACTAGCTGTGACAGCTGTAGCTGGGGATGGGGAACGCACCCGAGCACATGTTGCGTAAGGAGATGTGAGGGGTCAGCGGCGAGAGGAGCTTCAGCCTATAAAGCAGGGAAAGGAACAAAGTGAGGACCAGAAGCTGCATGGCCGTCAGGGCCTCGAGGGCTTCGGCAGCTGCTCTGCTGGCCAGACACGGCACGGGCTGGCAGCATCAGCAACAAGCATCGTGCTCTGCCTGCCCCCTCGGGCCTGCCTGGCACTGCAAGCTGCTGCCCCAGGCCCAGTGTGTGCAGGCCGTGCAGCAGAGAGTGCCCAGCCCCTGTGGTAGCTGACTGCAGAGGTAACGGTGACAGGGCTCAGAGAGGTGTGGCTTTGGCCAGCTCCCAGCCCCAGAGCCAGCTTAGGATCGCTGTGTGGACTACCGTTGTGTCTGGTCCTTGCTCCCCCCCCCCCCCCAGAGCCTTGGAGGCTGCAGGACATTGTCTCGGACAGCAGCCATGGGCAGCGCTGTGGGGAGGTCAGTGTGGAGTACAGGATGAGTCTCGAGGAGTTATACTTAGTGTAAAAGCCAACTCCCAAGATTGAATTCGGTGCCGTCCCATCTATGCAGTGCTCCTGAGGTGACAGACTTGCAGAAAGAGAAAAAACTGGTGGTTGCCGTGAACCGGGCTTGGGGGCTTGGGCTGAGCACTGTTACCGAAGCGTGGTGTCCTCCGGGTGGCCATTCTGTATCTGATGTGGTGGTGGTGGTGGTGCAGGAACCCACATGAGGTAGTGTTGTATAGAGCTGCTCTCCCACATACCCGTACACTTGGGCACAAGCCACACTGGGCACATCTGATTATGTCAGTGTCGACATCCTGGTCGTGCTGTTGTGCCGTAGTTTTGCAAGTTGTTACCCCTGAATAAAAGAGAAGAGGTTTCTGCAGTTATGTAAAAGTCAAACTAAATCATAAGCAAATGATGATTTTAAAAAAGACAATGTTAAAAAAACGAATCAATTATAAGTACATGGTGACTTTCCCCTAATTTATTTCCTTTTCCCCTCACGTCCCTTCCCTCAGACCCTGATGGTAGACATCGACTCTAGCATGCTCTGATGAATGTGGGACCTGACCAGCTGAGCCACTGAGTGGTTAGACTGTAAATAACGCTGCTCTCGTGGCTACTGACTAAGCAGACGTGACTGAGTGCAGGCGTGCCTGTGTGTGCGTGAAGGCCCGGTGGGCAGGAGGCGGCACTGGGCCTCTGCGGGTCCCTCTAGGCTGGAATATGTGCACGCAAAACAGAGTAGGGGTTCTGCTTCCGGATAGGGAACGTGGAGCCGTCCCCTCAGCCAGACGGGAGGACCCAGGCAGGTTAGTGCCCAATTCCTGCCTGACTGTGCATTCCCAGAAACTCACGGCCTTTACTGGTGGGCCATTTTTTAAAAAAAAGATTTACTTATTTGAAAGGCAGAGTTAAGTGGAAGGAACACACACACACACACACACACACACAGATTTTCCATCTGCTGGTTCACTTCCCAAATGGCTGCAACAGCCAGGGCTGGGCCAGGCTGAAGCCAGGAGCCTGGAGCTCCATCCAGGTCTCTCACGTATGTGGGTGTCAGAGATCCAAGCGCTTGGGCCATCTTGTGCTGCTTTCTCAGGAACATTGGCAGGGAGCAGGATTGGAAATGGAGCTGCTAAGACTTGAACCAGAACCCATGTGAGATGTCGGTACCAAAGGCGCAGGCGTGGGCTTAACCACTGAGTTACAAAGGGCCCCTCCTGGTCATTTATTTGAAATGCTAAGTTTTTGTTTATCTTTTGCCTCTTTGAGGTTCCATCCTGTTTTAAAGACAGTCAGTGTGGGAGCCAGGCCAGGCTGTGGTTCTCATACCCCACACCCTTACAATGGAAATCACCCACTTGGAAGGCAGTTCCCAAAAGTTAATTATCACCAGGAAAGTGTAGACAGCAGCTTTTTGTTATCAGGGTAATGAAATCACTATCGCCTTAATACTGCACACACTTTGCCGTGCCTCTGTTGGATTTCTGCTGAATGAACTGAGAAAAATATTGCAATGTGCTCTCCAAGGAAATTCAGTGTTTAATATAAGCCCTGTTTTTTTGTTGAACAGATGAGTGGAGTATCTAGAGACACCGGAGAGTTTCCTCCATGGCTAAAGACAGATTAGAGGCCCTCCTTTTTTGCTTCTTTGCTATTGTTTTGTGGTCAATTGAAGTATTAAGTCTGTATTTTGGAGAACGGCTAAGACTTGAAAACAATATGTCACTGGGCCACACCGCTCCTGGGCCTGGGCCTGGTGCTTTGCTGTGCCACCTTCGTGCTTTGACGTGCTTCGTGATGTGTTGGTGTTTGGTTTAGATGCTGAAGCAAACCAGCCTATAAAATACTGTGCTGTAAATATAAACCTTTATGAACCTCTGGGGATAGCCCTTCTAAAATGTGAATTAAGATATTCCATGATTCACACCCATAAACTGAAAAGTAGCCATCGGCCTAAGTAGTAATTTGCTTTCTGAACCTTTAGCTTATAAATTGCTGCTGGCTTCTGCTCAGCAGATCCAGGGTGTGTGCGTATGATGGTAACAAATGATGAAGTTTATAAAAATAACTTTCAGGAGGAGCGCGGATGAGCTGAGGCTGTTGTGGTCTTTGACGTATCCTCCTGCTCAGGGGCTTGTTTTTTTTTCATTATTATTTTCTTCTTCCTGCAGAGCCACCGTATTTCACTGCTGAGCCTGAAAGTCGGATTTTAGTTGAAGTGGAAGAGACTGTGGACATCGTGTGTCGAGCCATGGGTGAGTGTGGCCCCAATCGGAAGTGGAGCATGACAGTGGCCATTTTGCAGGGCAGGGTTTGCACCATTCTAGGGAGACCGGGAGCTGATGGCTGAGAACAGCTTTGGGTGGAGGACAGGTGACCTGGGGCACCTGACCTCGCTGAGCGTTAGCCTTCTCGTCTGCCGAACAGTGGTAATATTTGCCCAAAGGAGAGCTTAACGCACTTCCATGCCACACAGAGAAGGGCGCTCCCTCAGGCTGTCATCCCACAAGCATCGCTCCCCAAGCTCAGGGAGGAAATTCACTCTGACCCACGAGCTCATGGGGACTGGGGACCAGAGCCTCTCTGGGGCAGAAGGGAGACTCCTGCACTTCCTCTCTAGCTCTGGGTCAGCTTTCCCTGTTATCAGGTAACCCCACCCCTCCTGCCCCATGCCCGATTCCTGTCATCTGCTAGCAGCTGCCCAGTGATTACACAGAGGCCTCTGCCTAGAGACAGGAGGGTCAGTGCCACCTCACTCACCAAACCTGTGCACTGGCAGCTGCTGGCAGGGATCACTGTTCTTCCAACCTCGTCATCTTAAGGGTGGGTGTTCTCTTCTCCCTGCTAAGTGTTTGGAGGTGAGGATTACAGTTTTGTGCATCTTCCAAACAGTTCCATGCAGACATTGTGGTCTGACAATACACACAGAAACCAAGCCTGAGCAAGCAAGGTTAAGTAACTGGGTCAGGGCGAAGAGCCACGAAGATGCAGTGAGGTTCTGCTGTAAATCATCACCCGCTTCTGGCAGTGGGAGCTGCTCATTAAACACTTGGCAAGTGCAGCTGGGTCTTAGGGGACTGGACCCAGACCCGACCCATCTGCTGCCAAAACATCTGCTCCTGGGGGGCCCCAGGGCTTCCCCCAGGAGCTGAGGACGGGGCTCACAACAGGTAGTGCTATCAAGGGTGTCCTTTTCTTTCCTTTCCGAAAGAGAGCAGAGTGTCTGAACACTGAACAGTGCTGATGGGAAGGCAGAGGGGAGCCCTGGCTGGTCCCTGCCTGGGCGTCGAGTGGCCGTTGCTTCTGCCTTGAGCGGTTCCGGCCCTCACTCCTGGCCACTCGCCATGGCCGCCTCTCCAGGTCTGCCTGCTTGCCTTCCGCCTCCACTCTAGATCTGCTCACGCAGCCGCTGGAAGGGGCAGGGGAGAGGAACAGGGTTGTGAAATGGGAAGATGGTGCTGACTGTGGCTTCATTGTTCTTTTTCTTGCATAAACACCGGCTTCTTAAGGCCAGCCGCTCTGAATAGGAGCCCGTAAAAAACCTGGAGTGCTTACATTTTAGGAATGAGAAAAAGCGGTGCTGCAGGGGCTAAGATTTCTGTTTCTGACATTAAATTGCCCCGAAATAGAAACTCTCCCGGTTCCCTCGGCACTAACAAGTATTTTCCCATAAATTACAATTTTAAACTCTCCCTAAGCCAAGAGAATGCTCTTTTTTTTTTTTTCGCATGTTTTCTACAGGGTAAACTGCTTGTTAAGTATACACTATATTAATTGAACAGGCTTTCAACATTGCATTGCTATCTTATAATTTACCACTTTCTTTTAATTTTGACAGTGAAACTATCGCAGCATGTGAGGTGGATTTTCTTTATGAAAGCTATATCATGTAATTGCCATTATGAGATCTTGCTTGAATTGGTTATACTTTTATCTTGAAATGGATTTTTTTTAAATTTCCTGATTTAATGAAAAGTGACAGGAACCATAATTAAGGCAAAGAACAGAATCTGGGAATACATTATGTTGAAATATTCCATGACATTAACTTTATTTATTATAGCAGACATCTTACACCTACCTACATCACCTCTCAAATCAAGGGATTTTAATGTGCTTCCCACAAATCATAGCAAGATGTGTTTTTTTTTTAATTTAAATCCATTTTATATTTAGAAAAATTGAGGTACAGAAACTTCTGAGATATCAGACTGTGTCCAGATGTCTCCTCATGTTTCCCACAGGCCTGCAACAGACATGTGTGCATGCCCACTGTGGTTTTGGACTTGGTTGTCTTGTATGCTTTGGCCTGATTCTACACAGAGCCTCCCTGTCAGCTACCCTTCAGGAAGGGCCAGGGCCAAGTTCTAAGGAAGAGACTCCCACAAACAGAACCTGGTGTTTCGCGGCGGGCTTGGCGAGCAGGGTGGTGGCGTTCACCACTCTCATTCATTCACTCCCAGCGCCGTGCAGGGGACCGGCAACAGGGGTGCACACACCGTCAGGCTGAGAACAGTCCCTCTCATTTACCATCAAGTTCTGTCCCTGGTAAACTTCTCTTGTGTCCACTGCATTCACCCTCATTCCAGGTGTGCGGGCTCGTTGGTCAGCTCCAGCCTCCTTGACTGCAGGCCTTGTTCGACAAGGGAGGGCCGGTCAGGAGTGGGCTGGGCACCAAGCCTCAGCCTGGCCCTCCTGTGCCCAGGCGCTAACTCTTTACCATGTGCTCGACTCACTCCACTGTCGGGCTCCCAGATGGGCCCATCCTGCCACCACCCCTCAAGTCACCTGTTCTCGCATATTCTTATGGAATGAGGCAATTTCTCCCACATCCATAACTTCATGCCTCTGTGTCTTCTCACCTTTAAACAAGTGCATCTCCCATTTCTTAGCCTAATGAACCACTCCTGGACACCGTGAGACTTTTGTTAAGGTCAGCATATCAACCTCTTCACTGGTGGCTGTTCAGAGATATTGTTGATTGTGTAATGAATAATGATACTATTCATTCGCGTTTATGGATACTCATTTTAATTTTTACTTTTTTATGTATTTGAGAAGCAGAGAATTAGAGAGAAATCTCCTATATAATGGTTTACTCCCCTAGTGCCCACAGTGGCCAGGGCTGGGCCAGGCTAAAGGCAGGAGCCAGGAACTCCGTCTGGGTCTCCTCTGTGGATGACAGGAACCTAACTGCCTCTCAAGATGTGTACCAGGAAGCCAGACTCGGGGCTGGAACCGGGGCTCTAGCCCAGACACTGCCATGGTATATGGGAATCCCAGGCAGCAGCTTAACTACAGTGCAAACCCCATCTCCACATAAACGTGCCTAATCCTCACAGCCTTTAAAGCAGTGAGTATTATAGCCTCACCCATCTGTCAGGAGCAGAGGCACAGAGACAGGGAAAGTATTGCACAATTATGCAGGCAGCCGGGGCAGACCTGGGATCTGGCCTGCAGCCTGCCCTCTGCCCTCCCGACCTGCATCTGTGCCTGCCACGCAGTGAAGAGTCGGGCACCGTGGGCCAGCAGAGACCATCTCCGTCCAGGCCACGGGGTGAGCCCAGAGGTGTCCAGACTTTGGATCTGGAAACCACTGCTGCTCAATCTGAGATGAGAAAAATAACTCCTAAATGATGAGAAGGTGGCTGTGAAAATCTCGCCGTGCTAGCCTTGGAAACAGTGTGCTCACACCTTCCGTGAGGAATCCCTGGAATTTGCATATTCAGAATGCCTATTCGTGTCCACTCCTACACAGGGGTCCCTCTTCCCACCCTCCAGTGGTACAAGGATGCCGTTTCCGTTGGCAAGCTCCAGAACCCTCGCTACAAGGTGCTCGCCAGTGGCGGCCTGCGCATCCAGAAGCTGCGCCCGGAGGACTCCGGAATCTTCCAGTGCTTTGCCAGCAACGAGGGAGGGGAAATCCAGACGCACACTTACCTGGCCGTAACCAGTGAGTACCGCCTGTCGGCGTGGACCGGACTGCAGCCCCGAGCCTCCCGCATGTTGAGCCACATCACACACACACACACACACAGAGAGAGAGAGAGAGAGAGAGAGAGAGAAAACAGTGGTGTCTGTGCAGCCCCTGAGCTGGGCGGACAGGAGATGTGGCCACAGGGGGAGGGCTGGTCAGGAACACACCCCAGGCACACTCTCCTCCTTGGGGGTCCCTTGAGTGGTGGAGACATCAAGTGCTCCCAGTTCTTGCCACCTGTGGGCTTCTCACGGGAGTCCTGATTTCTCCAGCACTGAGCACTCCTCTTTGTTGGGAAGAAGTAGAAAAAAGTGCTTAGTGTTCTGGACAGAATTGGAAGGACTGTTGAGTGAATAGCTTGCTCCTAATCTTTTTCTTTTGATCTTTTTTCCATTTTTTTATATTCTTTCTCTATTTTAGTTTTATTGCACAATTACAGTTCTTTTGTGAGTTTTTTTATTATCCCATTAACAGAAATACGTTCGTACTCTGTCTTTAAAAAGTAAAGGTAAAGGTTTTCATTGTATCCGTGGGTTTTCCTTTTAATCTCCCATACTTGTAATATTGTTCTTCTAAAATGAAGTGGAATTTAGTGATTATGGAATTATACCTTTCATGTGTACCCTGTTGAAAGCAAAGTGCCAGTGCTCTGAGGTGTGAGAGCCACTTGAGGCGGCAAATCAGCGCCGGTGTGTAGACGGCCAGGGCTCTTGTGGAGGGGTGGATGGGGGATTTAAAAGCTCATACGTGGGCCGGCGCTGCGGCTCAATAGGCTAATCCTCTGCCTTGCGGCGCCGGCACACCAGGTTCTAGTCCCGGTTGGGGCGCCGGATTCTGTCCCGGTTGCCCCTCTTCCAGGCCAGCTCTCTGCTGTGGCCAGGGAAGTGCAGTGGAGGATGGCCCAGGTGCTTGGGCCCTGCACCCCATGGGAGAGTGGCTCCTGGCTTCAGATCAGCGCGATGCACCTGCCGCAGCGCGCGGCGGCCATTGGAGGGTGAACCAACGGCAAAAGAAAGACCTTTCTCTCTGTCTCTCTCTCTCACTGTCCACTCTGCCTGTCAAAAAATTTAAAAAAAAATGCTCATACGTGTGTTGGTGGACTGTGGGTCGCTTTCTTAACCTGTTCAGGGGAGTCAAATCTCCCCCAGTTTCGAGCACTGAGAGCCAGTATTCCTTCAACCATTGCAGTAACATCAGCCACTTAAGCCAGAAACTGGGTCTGGATCAGTTAGAATTATTTAAAGCTTGCCTTGCAGTCGGGGCCAGGGAGTACTGGGCCTGGGACTGGCCAGCCTCGTCCATGCAGGGCTTGAGGGCACACGTTCTGGGCTTCAGGGAACGCGGTCACTGTCACAACTTCTCAGCTTGACCCTCGCGGAGTGAAGCCGCCTGGCAGCTCCACAGCCAGTGGGAGGCGCTGTGCCCCAGTAAAATTTTACCGTGTTTGTAATGTCTTGTTATTTTACAATGTTATCGGGACAGAGAAAGCTCCTGTTTGTTTATTCACTCCCCCGATGTTTGCAGTGGCCTGGCTGGGCTGGTGCAAAGCCAGGAGCTGGGATCTCAGTTGGGGGGGGTCTCCCACATGGGTGAATGGGACTCAACCATTTGAGCTATCACTGGTACTTCCCAAAGCTTGCATTATCAGGAAGCTGCAGCCTGGAGCCAGAGCTGGGAATCGAATCCAGCCACTGTGCTGTGGGAAACAGATGTCCCAACTGATGGGCCAGACACCCACTCCCAGTGAAGCTTTCTTTGCATGCGAGGGCTGCAGGCTGCAGATGGCCAACAGGCTGAAGTCTGCCCCAGTGAGAGACCCGGCATTAGAAGATAAGCTGGCCCAGGTGTTTCACTGACTCTCCTTCCACCTGGACCTGCCCGTCTGCCGGGACAGCTCTGTGGCCGGCAAGTGGGGAGTTAGTACGGTGCACCACTTAGACTGGTGCCGCAGCAGATGCTAACTGAACAGTGCATCCGTCATCACTACGGTGCTACCGTCCGCTGTAGAAGTGAAGGATTTTCCTAGCGTGAGTTTCTTTTTCAAATGAAGATCTCTTTAATGCAAGGAACAGGCATGTTTAACAATGGATATCCATTTGTTTGGCAAATGGTTACTGAGTCTTTGGTCAGGCCCCCTGGGTTAGGCCTTGGGACCACAGGCGAGGGTCCCTTGTGTCCAGGACAGAGGCCTGAGCAGGGGAGGAAGACAGTGCAGGGGTGAAGCACAAGGCAGGGGGTGCTGCAGAGAGACAGGACGGGGGAGGTGGCAGAGTGACCAGGGTAGATGGGCGATTGGAGAGCCACTCTCTAACTGAAGGTAAGAAGGAGCTATTCGAACAAAAGCGTGGGCGCGTGCTTGTGGCGGAGCGTGCCAGGGACTGCTCAGGTGCCTTGGAGAGAACCAGCTGGGTGCATGCAAGTGAAGGGAGGCAGGAAGGACAGAGCCTGATGATGGGCAAGGTGGCCCTGGTAGGAAGCAGATCAGAGGGATTTATGGGCGCTAAGAGCTGGGGAGGGGTGGGGAACCAGTGGGGGCCTTGAACTGGGAAGGTCCTGAAGCATCGTAGCTTTGCCTGGGCAAAGCTGGGTGAAGCCTGGATGGGGAGAGAAACACAGAAGCACCGAGACCAGCTAGGGATGCCCGTGTCATCCAGGCAAGACCTGGGACTCGGGTGGCCTCACATGAGGGGCAGAGAGACCATGAGCTCAGCAGGTGCGTCAGAGGCCGTCCGAGGCCTTCCCACCAGGTGTGCAAGAGGGGCCAGCAGTGCTGCTGTCTCCACTTTTCCCCCTGGGGGCATCATGACAGGGGCTCCTTGTCGGCACTGTGTTGGGATTGCTGTTGTAATGGTTATCAGAGCAGCACAGTCGGGTGAGCTCTCACCGGCACCATGGGAACAACTCCCTCCTCCATGCTGCTGGAGGCCCCCGCAGCTCCCAGTGAACAAGGAGAAATCTAACCCCGGGCTCAGGATGCCTCTCCAAAAGGGACCCTAACTGTTTTACGTTTCAGAACAAATCCAGGAAAGGGTCTTCATGAGAAGAACACGTTGTGTTTAAAAATGAGCCCTTTCAAATTTAAAGAACCAAAGCAGCTTGTTGGTTTTACCGAAGTGAATGCCCCTCCTGTCTCCAACACATTCACCTAGACTGTTCTTCCTTGGCCTGACCTTTCTCACCTGTGTGTCCATTACGTCAAGAATATCTTCTCTTCCAGTCATTCCCAGGAGATGAGTAGCAGGCAGTCACAGTCACCCCGGAAGGGTGGCCCTTATCCCCGCAGTGGGTCTCGTTAGACTCGCACGGACCCTGCCACACACACAGCTGATGTGAGCGTCTCCAGGGGCTGGCGGGATGAACATTTCACCATCTAACTCCTCTCCCCAGATATTGCTCCTGCGTTCACCCAGCGTCCAGTGGACACCACCGTCACTGACGGGATGACAGCGATTCTACGGTGTGAGGTGTCTGGGGCCCCCAAACCCGCCATCACGTGGAAGAGGGGTAAGGAGCAACCCGTTTTCACTGCTATGGCCAGTGCAGAAAACAAACGGGTCGGCCAGTGGTTGGGTTTTATTATTCTGACTCTCGTTCATTTGTTCACTCAATAAAGATTTATTGGATGCCTACGCTGCTAGATGTTGGGGTACAGGGTGAATGGGACAGACAAGACCCCAGACTTCTAGAAAAGGCAGTAGTTTTTAAAAAAGAAAATAATAATTGTGCAAGTGTCACTGTCTTCTAACTCAAACCTTTGTGGAATTCCTCTGGCCTCCTGGGGCTCCTCAAAGTGCTAAGGACTGGGTTTGAAGTAACGCTGGTAGGATTTTCCCGTTTGTGAAAGCAAGGAGTCAGTCCTTCCTTACAGTATTCACAATGAAGAATTGTGTCCGTTCATTAAAAAAAATGGCGCATTTTCATTTTATTTGAAGGGCAGTGAAACACAGGCGATATTCCATCCAGTGGTTCACTCCACAAATGCCTGCAACAGCTGGGGCTAGGCCAGGCCCAGGCCAGGATCCTGGAACTCAACCTGGGTCTCCCGTGTGAGTGGCAGGGAGCCAGCGACTTAGGCCACCACCGGCTGCCTCCCAGGGTTCACGTTAGCAGGAAGCTGGATCAGAGCAGAGACGGGACTTGGACCAGCGCATTCCAGTACGGAGTGCAGGAGTCCCAAGCCGAGGCTTGGCTGCTGTGCCAAAGGCCTGCTCCTCCGGTTTTTTTTTTTTTTTTAATTCATTTTAATTTTTTTTTAAAAGGAAGAAAGATTCTCTTAGCACAGCATTCTTTTCCAACCTCCCTGCTTTAATACGTGAAGCTTAGCTCCAGCTGTGGTATCCATCCCAGGAAGAGCAGTGCCACCGCACAGGCTGTTCCGTGGTTCCACAGCCCCTTCGGCAGACCAGTCATTCACGCCCTTCAGTGCCGGCGCACAGAGCCCGTCCGTCATGGGTGTGTGCCCACTGGTGTAGATTCACCTACATTAACGAATGGTGCTGGAACTCCAGAAGTCCTGCCTCTTCCATGCTGCCAGCAACCCATGTGATACCCCCGCAGGTCTCAGAGGTGTAGTTCCTGTGCTCAGACAGTCTGTAGCAAGGATCGGGGAACTACTGGTCAGTAAGAGGGTAGGCTTTTGTTTTATATCCTTTTCTGATTTGACCATAGTAGTAACTTTGTATAGAAAACTTTCATATGCACATAAATATAAAGAAACCGAAGAGCCAGTCATCCAGAGATAATAATCCCAAATGTGGACCATAATTTAGTCAACCAAATTTCTCATTATTGAGCAATTAAGATGTTCTTAGTCTTCAGTATTCTAAATAATGCAAAAGGAAACTGATTTGGTTATTTTTGTGCTTTTTTTTTTTTTTTTTTGCTTTATTCTGGTTATTTTCTTAGATTGTTCTGGTGGTGGCCGTCTAGCCACTGCCTCCTTTTCTTTCGCGGTGTGACTCTGACACCCCCGCTTCCTCTGCTCTTCTCAGGAAGCCGCATCCTGGCCAGCGGCTCCGTCCGGATCCCCAGGTTCATGCTGCTTGAGTCTGGGGGCCTGCAGATAGCCCCTGTCTTCACCCACGACGCTGGCAACTACACCTGCTATGCCGCCAACACAGAGGGGTCCCTGCACGCGTGTGCGGCGCTCACCGTGTGGAGTAAGGCCCCAGTCTGCATGAACCTCCTGCTAATCATGCTGTAATCACCGTGTCATGCGCGCAGAGGGGATGTCAATATGCCCTTGGACTTTATCATTTAATCAAAGCAGAATGATTATTCTTACAACTAATTTATAGAAATCTGTTGAGTAATTAATTTTTCAGCTTCTAAAAGCATAATTAGAAAATGTATTCAAAGATTTAATGGGGACATTTCAGGAGAGATAAAAGATTGATTTTTAAGTCAGAGTAGAGATATTATACTAAACTAGTTCAAATAATTGAATTAATGTGTTGGTTAATTTTAGAAGTTTTATATGAAAACTGAATTAAAAATAAAAATACAAAAGTGCTTTATATATTATTATGACCAACCAAAACATGTCTAGTATCTTAAATATGGATGTTTCTTATATATTAGGGATGAACTGAAAGAAAAAAATCCGTATTTTCTCTCAGCTTTTGCCATTATAATTTTGTCTAGAATACAGGTTTCTGAAATGCAAAATAAATTGTTTCCAGAAACATAAGAATTGGAGTACGAAATACCCACTCCACCTTTTTTTTGTTAATTTCAATGATACTTTTCCTTTTTCTTCATTCAAATCTATATTATTAAAAATGGTTCAAAACAGTTAAAAGACAATGCTAACCAATTTTCATAAAGCTGCCGAGAAGACAAATTTTAACTTACTAATAATTTGTTAAAATGCTATCCTTAGAGAAGAACTAAATCATTTGCTTTATTTCTTATTTATTTAGCATTTTTATCGTATGGTTGGTGTCTGCGTTGATAAATGACCCTTTCTAACTTATTAGGTGTTCTAAAAATACCCAAGTTTAAACAAAATACAGGGTCTCATAATCTTGTCAAGTACTAAAAATGTTTTGTTCCATTTGGTACAGTTGAGTAGCAAGCCACTTTTAATTCATCATGCATCCCTAAAAATGTGAAATCTTGTCCAAAAAGTGATGTCTGATTCTCTGAGGCATAGATCACTCACCAAGGGATGTCGCGTGTCCACTGAGATTCAGAATCAGGACACCACTGTGACCAGCAGAGCATGCTGATGGCCCATAAGCATCTCCCCTACTGCTCCTCACCGGACCTGTGTCGCGGTGGGCGATGTAGGCGCCACCTTTCACCGCAAAGCAGTTGAGACGCGGACATTTTTCTTAACTCGCGGCTAGCGAGCAGTCACACTGGGCCTTGGCACTCCTGGTGGCAGCTTATGGAGCGGTCCAACCTGCTGTTAGCACCGATCCGTTGCTAGCTGTGCGGTGTTGGACGAGTCCCTTCATTTTGGAGCGTCTGTTTTCATGGCTGAATACCGGAGCAGAGATCCTGCAGCCATCACAGGATTGTGAGGCTTGAATAAAACAAAACAAATGAACGCACCTTGCCAAGTTACGGTTGTGTGGATGTGAGAGATGGCTGGAGCGATGATTGTCTTGGGAAAGAGTCTAGATCTTTAACCCAGAACGTAGAAGCCAAGAAAGATTCCCACATGGCCCTCCCTTCCCATTTTCCTACAGAGTGTTTGAGGGCCAGTGTGGCTTTGGGGGGTGGGTGGGGTGGCCGGCGTCACTGCAGCGTGGAAAGTCAGATTTTCAGTTGCGTAGCCTTTCTGAGTGCCTTCACTTACACTCGTTTTGCCCAGATAAGAGAAAACTTAGAGGTTTTGAAGTCAGATGACTAATTCAGTATTGCCCTGAGGGTAGAAACTATTAAACTTATAATTCCATCTAAGTCATGCCTTGTGTGTTTCCAGATCGGACGTCCATCGTCCACCCGCCTGAGGACCGTGTGGTGATTAAGGGGACCACAGCCACGCTGCGCTGCGGAGCCACTCACGACCCCCGCGTTTCTCTCCGGTCAGCTCAGTTCCGATACTTTGGGGCTTATTAATATTCTGTGAGCCTGTGAAGTGAAGTTGAGATGAAAAGGAAGAATTTTAGGAACTTTGATTTTGGCTGCAGATCCCTGATTACAGCACCACACAGTCGCGGGCGCCATCATTAATCACACAAAATCCCATTTTCCACTCCAGCCTTATGTATTATTTACAGGGAGCCATGTTCCACTTCATGACTTCAATACAGCTTTTCATGATTTTTCTGCCAAGGTTAATACACTATCTGTAAAACGTACTTGTCAGAGGCTGATACTTAATGAGAGAAAAATCCAGAGGGATCGAATAGGATTTCAGCAGTGTTTACACGGGCCGGGCCGTACTCGAGAGGGGCTTTCTCTGCTCCCAGGATGGCTTCATTGTGAAATGGGGAGCGAGGGAGGCCTAAACGGAGAGGAAAGACAGCATAGGTACCTAGCATGCCCAGGGGGAAGTATGTAACCAAAGCACCTGGGTGACCTGAAGATTCTTTTTTTTTTTTTATTTTTTTTATTTTTATTTTTTTGACAGGCAGAGTGGACAGTGAGAGAGAGAGACAGGGAGAAAGGTCTTCCTTTACTGTTGGTTCATCCTCCAATGGCCACTGTGGCCGGTGCACTGTGCTGATCCTATTGCAGGAGCCAGGTGCTTCTCCTGGTCTCCCATGGGGTGCAGGGCCCAAGTGCTCAGGCCATCCTCCACTGCACTCCCGGCCCACAGCAGAGAGCTGGCCTGGAAGAGGGGCAACCGGGACAGAATCTGGCACCCCGACCGGGACTAGAACCCCGTGTGCCGGCGCCGCAAGGTGGAGGATTAGCCTAGTGAGCCGTGGCGCCGGCTGACTTGAAGATTTTTTAAAGGAACTCTGACATCCTGTCCTTGTTTGAATTCACACCAGGGAAGGGAAGGATGGAAACTAGGACCCTCCGGGTAAATGTGTGGTCACAGACGGGTACCTCTGTGTGGTGAGTTTTTTCCCATGAAGAGCAGCCACATTCAGAACAGTTTTTAATTTTTGGATTCAGCCTCAAAAATAGAGCACAGTATTTTCACTCTGGTATAAGCCCCGGGGAATGCTGTTTGCACAGTGGACAGGATCGAGATGCCCTCCTGCTGTCCGGGACATTTCCCTCCAAGCGGAGGAGGGGCTGTGGGCACCTAAGTTACTAACCAGATTCAGATAAGCCCATCTCTCTGTCTTCTCAGACGATGTTTGACCAATCGTGAGCCTCCATGCCTGTGCCTGCTTCTCTAAACTTCCTCCCAGTTCACAAACCAGGGTGGTTTTAGTGAAGAGAATGCTGAATGCAAAACAAACCAGGCGAAAATTGGAAGTTAAAGATTCCCTAGGAACCCTTGGGGCTTGTCTCAGGGCTGGTGGCCGTGCCTTTCTACGTGGTTTGGAGTAGGATCGCCAAGAACGGAGCACCAGTCAGTATGGCTTTCTGCCACTCTGAGAGCTCACAATGCCTTTGAATCCTGGTGGTTTCCTTGTAGCTTTCACCTGGGGTGAGTGGGCGCCCCTTCCTGAGAAGGACCTGGGCTCTGAGCCCTTGGGCGCCCCTCGGTACAGGAGCTCTGTGCCCACAAGGAGCCCTAGGCCCTCAGTGACGATGGTTCTCTTGTAGTAGGTTCTTGTGGAATCTGCTCAGCTCTGTCTCTGGGTAATTTCAGATAAGTAGTTTATAAATGTCTGTGTTCTGTGACTAGGAAAGCTTCAAAGAACTGGATACATTTTAAAAATCTGATCAAATTAATTTGAAAGGAAAAACAACACTTTCATCTCAACCCACAGTGAGCTTTGGCCCTGCCCACATCCATCAGAGGACTGGCAGCCTCTTAATTGATTCTCTGTTTGAAAAGACAAACGTGCTAAAATGGTCATGCAAAGAGCAAAGGAGAGAGAACACAGTTTTAGGGACCCTCTGCCAGAATGGCTGGATTTTAAGAGAACGTGTTTGTGGGGTAGGATGTGTTTGTCTCCCCAGAGCTGGGCGACTCCACTCTAGGGACTGTGTCGCATCTCATCCAGACATCACTTATGTCTGCCCGGAGCCGTCCTGGAGCAGGAATGTTGTGCAACACAGGGGTCTTCGTGGACTCCCACCCCTGAGACCCAAGATCGGACAGGAGTTCCAGTCCTCTTCATTGTCCCGTTTTTAACTTCAGTATTTTAACTTTTGTATTACAACCACGGTATCTTGTTGCTTTTCTTCCCATTTTTCTTAAGTGGGATTCATGTATCACAGAATTCACCAAGGTTTTTAGTGTACTTACAGGGTCATCAGCTGCTCGTTTTCTACCAGTGATCCCATCCCTACAGGGTCTGTAACTCAAGTGATCCCATCCCTACAGGGCCTGTAACTCAGTGGATCCCATCCCTACAGGGCCTGTAACTCAGTGGATCCCATCCCTACAGGGCCTGTAACTCAGTGGATCCCATCCCTACAGGGCCTGTAACTCAAGTGATCCCATCCCTACAGGGCCTGTAACTCAAGTGATCCCATCCCTACAGGGCCTGTAACTCAAGGATCCCATCCCTACAGGGCCTGTAACTCAAGTGATCCCATCCCTACAGGGCCTGTAACTCAAGTGATCCCATCCCTACAGGGTCTGTAACTCAGTGGATCCCATCCCTACAGGGTCTGTAACTCAGTGGATCCCATCCCTACAGGGCCTGTAACTCAAGTGATCCCATCCCTACAGGGCCTGTAACTCAAGTGATCCCATCCCTACAGGGCCTGTAACTCAGTGGATCCCATCCCTACAGGGCCTGTAACTCAGTGGATCCCATCCCCACAGGGCCTGTAACTCAAGTGATCCCATCCCTACAGGGCCTGTAACTCAGTGGATCCCATCCCTACAGGGCCTGTAACTCAAGTGATCCCATCCCTACAGGGCCTGTAACTCAAGTGATCCCATCCCTACAGGGCCTGTAACAAGGATCCCATCCCTTCAGGGTCTGTAACTCAGTGGATCCCATCCCTACAGGGCCTGTAACTCAGTGGATCCCATCCCTACAGGGCCTGTAACTCAGTGGATCCCATCCCTACAGGGCCTGTAACTCAAGTGATCCCATCCCTACAGGGCCTGTAACTCAAGTGATCCCATCCCTGCAGGGCCTGTAACTCAAGTGATCCCATCCCTATAGGGTCTGTAACTCAAGACTCTCTGCTTGACCTGCAGATATGTTTGGAAAAAGGACAACACGGTCATCACCCCATCCAGCAATTCTAGAATTGTGGTGGAGAAGGATGGGTCCCTCCTCATTAGCCAGACGTGGTCAGGCGACATTGGAGACTACACCTGTGAAATCCTGTCTGAAGGAGGGAACGACTCCAGAGTGGCACGGCTGGAAGTGATGTGAGTACTGCGCCGTCTGGCGTTAGGCAGCTCTGGCCATCTGCACTACCACACTCAGCCAGCGCTCTCCCAGGCACCTGTCACTTAACATGCACGATGCCCACCTTGTGTCCCAAGTCAGAGATCAGAGGCCAGCAGGTTGTGCTGCATAGCCAAGTACATTGACAGGGTTTGTGGAGTTTTTTATAACTTCAAAATTAGAATATTTCATCCTTGACGTAGATGGTTTGATGATTCATTTTCCACCTCATTAAGCCCCTCTGTCCTGTTTCCCAGGGACACCAGGTTGAGAGAAACTGCTTACCACGTCACATTTAAGTATCGATAAGTCCACTTTCCCATGCAGTGCCCACCAGAGCTTCTGCTCAGTGAGAAACGTCAGGGTCAGCCCGCGGAGCCCAGGCCTTTGTCAGGAAGGCCAACTGGACTTCAAGTTTAGGTTGGTTCCAGCTGCCTCTGCGTGGGCACATGGCTGCTTTCCATTAAGTCTTTGAAGAGCCAGCAGATAGCAAGCAGCAGCCCGTTACTTCCAACCCAGAGCGTCCGGGCCCCAGGGAGTCTGTCTGGGAACCACCGCCTCCTCTGCTCCGTGCTCTCCAACTCTGTTCACGGAGCAGGAAACTGAATTGCTGACTAATTCCAGTTTTCCAACATATATTTATTGGCTTTTAAAAAATTGTGGACACCCAGATATTCCGGAGCACACGAATACAAAACCAAACCCGGACACGAGGGACCGGGGCAGCTGGCTTGTGAGGAGGTGGCAGCTCCAGTGGCACTGCCTCCCGGCCTTGCTGACCTTCCACCTGCTGGTCAGTACAGGAAAGGCGATTCTCGGGGGGGTTCTCACTGACCCTGCCCCCCTCTGTCCAGGAAGGATTCGCTACACAGAAATCATTCCCTAAAAACAGATTTGAACACTCCGAATACAGGGCTGGGTCTGCTTTGTCTTTGAATCCCCGGATACAAACTGAGGGGATTATAAATGACAGAAATGCCTGCTAAGCATGTGGCCCTCTGGATTTGTGGCATGCTCGCGTGAATGAGTGAACAGGCACGTGGCCTTCCTCTGGCCCCTATCTGTGTGCCTGCACCTCCAGTCCCTGGAAAAAATCCCATCCCACCTCTCAGCCTGCGTTTCTCCAGGATGACCCTTCGTTGCCCTGTAGGGAGCAAAGGTCGGCCTACTTGTCAAGGAGCCGCAGGAGCCCAGTGACCCTAGAGGATCGGGGGTCCTTGGCTATAGCCAACAACTGCCAAAGAAGCTCTCAGCTCTGGCAGTGTTTGGCAGGGCCAAGGGTCTCCCCACCTCTGCCTTCCTCCCTGTGCTGCTCCGGTGTCTCCTCCACCGAGCCACGGCCATCCGCTTCCCCTGCGGCTTAGTTCGTGGCTCCTGTGTGTCCACCCTTTGGGATTCGGACACCAGGGTCCTTCCATGGCTCTTCCTAGCACCTGGTCCCTCCTCCTGGAAGGCACTGCTCACACAGGGTAGAGGCTACATCGTTCCTCCCCCTCCTAGCATGGAAGCACTGGGACAGCACAGATAGGCATTCTGAGTACCTCACAGTGTTTGGAACCTAGTAGGCACTCAGTAATGTATGGGTGTGGTTGGTTGTATGCGTGCACAGATGAGTTCGCATGTACTGTGTGTATATGCTACTCAACGCTGGCCAGCCTCCCCCATCCCCCACCTCATCTTTGATACTCACGGGTCCTTTGCTTTCACCCCGTGAGTGAACGCATGGGCTCAGGTCACTCTGTCAGAAGCCTTTGTCCAGCTCTGCTTTGGGCCTGCTTCCTTCATTCCCTGTCTCGGGTCAAACTTTCATGTTTTCTTTCTCATTTTGCTAACGTTGGAGGTCATAACCAGTGAATTCATACGATCCCCTGTGCAGTTCACACACACTACCTTTGAGAACTCTTAGATCATCCGTGGTTGCTCTCAAATAAATAAATGCTAGCAGTTCATAAAGACTCTGTCAGCAGAAGCCAAATTGCGTACTTCCAGCAGAGCACGTTCTTTTCATTCGGCACAGCTTTTATGTTCTGCTGATTTACATATCTCCACTACTATTCGCTTATTTGATTTCCTCTAAGTAAAATACATTTTTCAGCCAGTGTTGCTGTGTGTATAAAATAATAGACTACCTCTTCTCTACATAGAGAAATGTTTGTAGAGTTGTGATTCAGACCAGTTTGGGTACAACTGGTTACGGAGCTGATTTGGGAGACAATTGTTGGTGCAGCGAGCGCTGTGCCTTGCGAGCCTGAGTGAGTTGGTGACATTGTTGTTCGTCTTTGGACGCAGGCAGGTCGCGAGGCTCTGCGGCACCAGCACAGGCAGTAGTGATGGCAGGAGACCGCAAGGCATTTTGTGTTTCTCAGAGAACTCCCAGACCGAGCTCAGTAGCGTTTCCATGATTTATCAGATCACACACGACAAGGAACACCTCTCACTGCAGAAGGGACTGGGAGGCACTTGTGACCAAACAGTGCCCTTCACCGAGCCTGAAAGCCTGCTTCCCCTTTCCTGTCCACTTCAGTTAGAAGCTGCTTTGTTAAATACAGACATTGGGAGCCTTACAAGTGAGCTTGGGAAACGGGCTGCCCATGGTGCGGTCTAGGGTCCGTTTGCACTGTGTGCTCCAGCCTGCTCGGAGGGGTGGGGCAAGGCTGGTGGGAACTGCTGCCAGCCTACCCTGACCGTGGGACATGGCCAAGTCACATCCCTTCCCAGCTGGTCAACTCAACATGAGACCATCTGCCTTGAAGGGCTAGTGATGTGTGTTGAATGAACCCGTGTGCCTAACATCCAGGCAGGGCACCTGGTAGAGGAGGAACACTGTAGAGGGTGCTGTGATGGTCCTCTTTCTGTCTGGAGAAGGAAGCCACTCCTCCCTCAGCAGCAGCAACCCAGCCTCCCGGGTGCAGGCTTTGTCTCCCTGTGACCCTGCTATACTTCTGACTGTATTCTCACAACTTTCCGATGCACAGACAGTGGAGCCCTCAGTGCCTGGGACAGCGCCAGGTAGATGGTAGGTGCCTGATAAGTGTGCAAGCTGCATTTCACTTCCTGGGTTAGAACGGGAGGGTGTGTTTTGCACTACTGGAAAGATCTCATTTATGCCACAGTCCAGTGTGTGAGGACAGAAGCCCCCCACCCCCACCCCCACCCCTGGATAGTTCTGGAATGCACCCAGCAGGTTCACGGCAGAGACCATTCCATGAGGTTGCTCAGCCCTTGCGTTGGCCATGCGGCCATCAGGGCAAGAAGCCTGTCCCCCAGCAGCATTTTGTACTGAGCACGCCCAGGGGACCAGGCTCCCTAGGCTTCGTGGATTGATTCATTGTTAAGTCTTTTAAAGACCCAATTAGCATTATATCCCTCCTCCTGAATTCCGCAACCATGCTTAAGAGCCCAGAGTAACGGAGAAAACCTCATTTGCCGCTGACATGAAGACAGAGACCCTGAGGCAGTGGGAGAGGTTTCTTTCAATAAGACGACTTCTGACAAAGCCGTAATAAGGAGTGAGCAATTTAATACCGCTCCTCTGAGTGAAGTCGCAGGAGCTGGTTTTGACCAAGTCATCGTTTGTGCATTAAAGGGGCAACACTTTCTGTAAAGAAAGAAGACGTATCTGATCCGCTTCTGTCAGAGCAGCCCCGCCAGCCACGGTTTCACCAGTCGCTCCTTCTCAGAACTGCTTTTCTCTCACCCACCTCGCTTGATCTCCTAACTTACAGGCCACGTTTTTGTTTCTGATGCTATCTCTACCTTGGATGTTACGGGGCGTCGTTGGCCCAGTGTGCTCTCCTACCCACCCCCATCCCGTTAAATCACAAAGTGACTCAGCAGAGCGCCTCATTGCCATTGTTCTTGGAGCTCTCTCATTTGTCACCAGTCTGCGTGTCACTGCCTGTGAATCACGGGGCTGATCATTTATCTCCACGCAAAGCTGCCAGAGGAGCTCCCGATGCAAGCTCTTCCCGCTGGATCAGATTTTCCTAAATGGATTCAGAATATCAAAAAGCCTCATCCGGCTATTATCGGTGCGTTGGTCCAGAGCGCCACAAAGCTTAATTTTCAAGATAATCAAAACATATTTAAAGAAATAGTTTGTATTTCTAACACACATATTAAGTGAAAAGTTCTTTGCCTCGCTGAATCCATGATGTGCAACATAAGAGATAGCATGGAGGGGCTTTTTATACGGGACAGAGGCCAGAACTAGGGAGAATCTACATTGCCTTGCAGCTCTGAGTCCTGGGATTTGTTGTGGGCTGGGCCCTCACATTGGGTGTGACTAGGAGCCACTGAGCAGACGTTGTTGACCAGTGCTGGGCAGCGACCCACTGCTTCTGTAATCACAAACACCCCTGGGCTGTCAGGGCTCCATTCCTACACAGTGTGTCTCAGGATCACTTCTTTAAAGTTCAGCTGCGACACTGCCGTTTCTGTGGCTCCCTTGACTGCAGGAAGGACGGGCAGATCCAAGCACTGCTTTGGCAGCATTCTGCTCTTGGCTTCTATGAATCTAACTTTTCTTAGTTTCCACCTGTGAGATCATGAAGTGGTTGTCTTTCTGTGACCAGTTTATTTCACTTAAAATAATGTCCTGCGGATTCATCCATGTTTTCACCAGTGACAGGGTTGCCTTCTCTCTCTCTCTCTCTTTTCTAATGTTTATTTGTATTTATTGGAAAGGCAGAGTTACAGAGAGAAGGAGAAAGAAAGAGGTGTCTTCCATCAGTTGGTTCATTCTCCAAATGGCTGCAGTGACCAGAGCTAGGCCAGGCCGAAGCCAGCAACCAGGAGATTCTTCCACGTCTCCCACATGGGCGCAGGGGCCCGAAGACTTGAGCCATCCTCTGCTGCTTTCCCAAGCACATTAGCAGGGAGCTGGGTGGTAATTACTGCAGCCGTAGGGAATGCTGGCGCTGCAGGTGATGGCCTAGCTCACTATGCCACAACGCCAACTCCAGGACTGCCTTCTTTTAAAAGGCTGAGTAGCTCCCAGTGTATATAGACTGCATGTTCTTTATCCATGCATCTGGTGATGGGCACTTGGATTGACTTCGTATTTTGGCCGTTGTGAAAATGTGAACACGAGATACTGACTGCAGTTCCTCTGGATGTATACCCAGAAGTGGAATTTCCAGATCATATATTTGGTGATATTCGGTAATATTTTGGTAATATGTGTTATTCTGTGTTTCCTAGAAGCTTTACCAGTTTACATTCCACCAACCATTCTCGTCAGCCTTACTGACACTTATCTCCTTGTGATGTCAGACGTGCAAGCTAGCGGGTCTGTGGTTTCATCTCATTCTGCTTTCAGTTCGCATTTCCCCGAGCATGAGTAATGTTGAGCACCTCTTCATATACATGGGCTGGGGAGGGTGATTGGGAAAATCGTGGCCAAAGGATACAAAATTTCAGTTAGGAGGAGTAAGTTCAAGAAATCTATTGGCCGGCGCCGTGGCTCACTAGGCTAATCCTCCGCCTTGTGGCACCGGCACACTGGGTTCTAGTCCCGGTCGGGGCGCCGGATTCTGTCCCGGTTGCCCCTCTTCTAGGCCAGCTCTCTGCTGTGGCCAGGGAGTGCAGTGGAGGATGACCCAAGTGCTTGGGCCCTGCATCCCATGGGAGACCAGGATAAGTACCTGGCTCCTGCCATCGGATCAGTGCGGTGCGCCGACCGCAGCATACCAGCCGCGGCGGCCATTGGAGGGTGAACCAACGGCAAAGGAAGACCTTTCTCTCTGTCTCTCTCTCTCTCACTGTCCACTCTGCCTGTCAAAAAAAAAAAAAAAAAAGAATTCAAACAAAGAAATCTATTGTTGAATGTGATGGCCACAGTTAATAAATAATGTATCATACACTTCAAAAACAAAGAGGTGTTCTCATAGAAGCTAAAAGTATAATGATGGTTACCAGAGGCTGGGGAAGGAAGGGAGATGGGAGGGACGTGGACAGGTTGATTAACGAGTACTAGATTATAGCTAGATAGGAGCAAGTTCTGGGATTCTATTGCACAGTAGGGTTATTATAGATAATGTTAGCAGAAACATCTATTTACCCTGATTGGAAAATACACAGTATATACATGTATCAAAACATTACATCATGCTCTCTAAATATGTATAATTTTAGTATGTCAATTTTTTTCTTTAAACAAGATTTTTTAAAAGGAGGAAAAAATACTAGTTTGGGTGGGAAAAGCAATCTGTAATTCATTATTAATCCCAGGGAAACCCCTCTGAAATACAGAATAAGAATGGCTTCCTGTCTTGTTGCAAAATGCCACTTAGGATCTGCTGGGGTCCCTTTGCATCTTGTGGGGTGTTAGTGTGTACACTGCCCCTGCTTCTGTGGCCCGGGGGCTGCATGCACGTCTCTTTTGACCTGGAAGAGACACTGACAGTGTCCACATGTTGAAAAGGATGTGGGGCGCCACCAGCCCTGATGGTCATCATCTTTCTTTTTTCTTTTTTAAAGATTTATTTTATCTATTTGAAAGGCAGAGTCATAGAAGGAGAGATAGGTATCTTCCATCTGCTGGTTCACCCCCAAATGACCACAGCTGCCAGTACTAGACCAGGCCGAAGCCAGGAGGTCCATCCAGGTCTCCCACGCAGGTGCAGGGGCCCAAGCACTTGGGGCATCCTCCACTGCTTTCCTAGGCGCATTAGCAGGGAGCTGGATCAGAAGTGCAGCAGCCAGGACTTGTACAGGTGCCCTTAGGGGACGCTGGCCTTGCAGACGGTAGCTTAGCCCACTGTACCACAGCATGAGCCCTGCTATGCCCTGACAGTCCTCTGAGGTCACCTTCCTCGTTAGGGAAGTCTTTCAAGGCAATTCTGATACAAATCACCTGGAATGAAGTAAAGCTACAACTCGCACACGTTAACCAGTCTTAAGGAGCTGGCCTGCTTCAGACACCAGCCACAGGCTCCAGGCCTTCTGGTCTCCCCACACTTCTGACCAACTGGCTAAAATTGGTGGCTTCTGACTCCACCTGTAGGTTCAGATTTTCTATGCAGAACTCAGGAATGTGCTATCCTTATGTTTATAGTTTTATTACAAGTAGCTAATATCAGGAGTGGAGAAGTGGGAGGACCCATAAGGAAAGAGATGGAAGGCTTCAAACCCGAAGGTTCCCCTTGCTCATGCCCGTCAGTGCACGGTTGACTACCAGCCATGGTGCCAGGTGAGCGTCACCATGGAGAGTTTTCACTGGAGTATCATTGAGCCATTGGACTGTGATCAGACTCGGTCACTGAGCCCCCTCTCCTCTGTTGGGTAGATTTTACTGGCTCAAGCACCTGGTGGTCCTTCCAGCATGTCCAGATGTCATCAGGGACTGTCCTGAGCCTACCATGGGTTGCCTCCTAAGCACAGGCTTCTCTGTGGTCCAGGAGGCCAGCGTGGATAACAGGGACAGTGCCTTCACCTAGGAAAGTCCATGGGACAGAAGCAGAGGAGGTCTCTGTTATACCACAGTCTTACTTGGATGTATCCAAGTTTACTCATTGTTTGCTTGCAGGTGGGACTGTTTGAGCAAATTTGATTTTGTTTCACACTAAACCAATTCAGACTTGGAAGAAAATGTAGGAAATGGGGCTTAGGAGAAGTAGAATTGGTATTTTTCTTCGGGCCTTTTCTCCACAGTGGTCTTTATTGGAAATCTAATGGAGATTTGGTTATTGGAGAACTCAAATATAAACAGCAACCTCTTTTCTGATTTAAAACTTAATTCACAGTTAAAGAGAAAACAAGACAACATTGCAGGCTCAAGTTCATTTTTTATGATTCTAATATACAAAGTAGCTGCAGTCCACATTAGAAATATTAGTTTGTTTATCAATGGTGCGCATAAGTTAGAGCTGTGATTCTTGGGTAGCTGAAAGCACAAAGCACCTTGATAAATTTCAAAGTATAATGAGTACATTTTTAAATTCAAAAACATCAAGGTAACTATAGCTTTTTTTCTGACCTATGTGGTTCAGCAGTAATCGATGTCTAAGAGAGACCAAAAACTAGTTAGTGGGTGAGGTGGGTCACGCTCAGCTTCCTGTCCCCCACCACTGCCCAGGACCACTTATAAAATGGGCAGGCGTCCTGAACAGCTACAAAACAGAGTTTCGCTCCCAGATTTGTGAGATGTAGAGGTTTAATACCCGAGCTGGGCAGTCGGCAACTTTACGTTGCAGGCTTGTCATTGGAAGAACTTATGCAGTGAGGTTTTGTAGCTTTGCCACCAGTAAATCCCAGGAAAATCCTTCTTTTTATTAGTGACTTCTTTTCCAGAATTTGTTTTAATTGCATTTCCGTTTGATAGCCTTGCTGATGTGTTATTTTCCATTTCCTTTGGATTCCAGTCTAGTTCTTGCCACATTTCCTTTCAAGTGCTTCCCCTAAACCCGCATTATCCCACAGAGGAAGGAGTGACAATGTAACCTTGTGCTATCAGTAAATGAGGCGACTGTGATATCTAGGAATTCCTGTGGCATCTTCCCTGGTGACCTCCCACGGCTGGTGCTGAGAGCTTGCACACTGCCCCACACTCACCACGCCTTTTCCCTTTACCATGGCCTACTGCGTCACCATGACCCACAGCTAGCTGTACAAACAAGTTGTTGACCAGGAAGGTTTCCCTGTCAAGTAATGCAGTCAGTAAACCCCCACCCCCACCTCTCTCCCATGTAAGCTGCAGTATTGTAAGTCGTTTCATTTCCTATCGTAAGGATTAAGTCAAATTATGTTCGGAGAACACATTGTGAATGGTGAAGTTGACTTCCATTTGGTTCGTCTTCTGTTGTTTGGAAGGATGATTAGTGTCTTTGTTCGGAGCATATTTTCTGTGTTTATTTCTAAGATGACGCACTCTAGGGCTATCTGGTGCAAGCACCAGGCTAACTGCCAGTCCTTATTTGTGTTATCTTCTTTTTTTCCCCCTGTTCTTTCCTCATTCAAGTGAACTGCCTCATCCACCCCAGAACCTCCTGGCCAGCCTGAACTCCTCCCACAGCCACACCGTGACGCTCTCCTGGGTCCGGCCCTTCGATGGAAACAGCCCTGTTCTGTACTACATCGTGGAGCTGTCTGAAAACAGTGAGTAGTGCGACAAAGCCATCACCGTGAACAGCCATCAGATTTCTTTGCTCTTAATGTCCTTAACCTTTACATCTGGCGTGGACCCAAAACAACCAGTGAAATGGTAAGATGTTTTATGAGGTCACAAATGATAAGCTCAGTCACACTTCAGGGAAGAGAAAGGCAGTGTGGGGCTGGGCGAGGGGAGAGAGGAACAGTGAGAAGCCCTTGGCAGAGCCTGATCTGGGGGCCAGAGCAGGGCAGGATGGCCAAGCACACAGCTGCCTGAGAGGAGGGGCCCCGGACAGCGTGTTCCCCAGGGTGAACTTGGACAGAGAAATAACACCCCCCACCTGGGGCTGATCCGAGAGCCAGCAACCAAAGTGACACGTCACTCCTCTGGGTGTTCTCACACCTGGGGCTGATCTGAGAGCCAGCAACCAAAGTGACGCCCCACACCTCTGGGTGTTCTCACTAACAGGGACCCGGCACTAGGAACACCTCACACCTCTGGGTATTCTCACTACCTGGGGCTGATCTGAGAGCCAGCAACCAAAGTGAAGCCTCACTCCCCCGGGTGTTCTCACTAGCGGGGACCGGCACTAGGAACACCTCACTCTCTGGGTGTTCTCACTAGCGGGGACCGGCACTAGGAACACCTCACTCCTCCAGGTATTCTCACTAGCGGGGACCGGCACTAGGAACACCTCACTCCTCCAGGTATTCTCACTAGCGGGGACCGGCACTAGGAACACCTCACTCCCCCGGGTGTTCTCACTACCTGGGGCTGATCTGAGAGCCAACAACCAAAGTGACGCCTCACACCTCTGGGTGTTCTAATTAACAGGGACCTGGCACTAGGAACACCTCACACCTCCAGGTGTTCTCACTACCTGGGGCTGATCTGAGAGGCAGCAAGAGTAGTAACACCTCACTCCTCCGGGTGTTCTCACTAACGGTGACTGGCACTAGGAACACCTCACTCCTCCGGGTGTTCTCACTAGCGGGAACCAGCACTAGGAACACCTCACTCCTCCGGGTGTTCTCACTAGCGGGGACCGGCACTAGGAACACCTCATTCCTCTGGGTGTTCTCACTAGCGGGGCTGGCACTAAGAACACCTCACACCTCTGGGTGTTCTCACTAGCGGGAACCAGCACTAGGAACACCTCACACCTCCGGGTGTTCTCACTACCTGGGGCTGATCTGAGAGGCAGCAAGAGTAGTAACACCTCACTCCTCCGGGTGTTCTCACTAGCGGGGACGGCACTAGGAACACCTCACACCTCTGGGTGTTCTCACTAGCGGGGACCGGCACTAGGAACACCTCACTCCCCCGGGTGTTCTCATTAGCGGGGACTGGCACTAGGAACACCTCACTCCCCCGGGTGTTCTCATTAGCGGGGACTGGCACTAGGAACACCTCACTCCTCCGGGTGTTCTCACTAGCGGGGACCGGCACTAGGAACACCTCACTCCTCCGGGTGTTCTCACTAGCGGGGACCGGCACTAGGAACACCTCACTCCTCCGGGTGTTCTCACTAGCGGGGACTGGCACTAAGAACATCTCACACCTCTGGGTGTTCTCACTAGCGGGAACCAGCACTAGGAACACCTCACTCCTCTGGGTGTTCTCACTAGCAGGGACCAGCACTAGGAACACCTCACACCTCCGGGTGTTCTCACTAGCAGGGACCGGCACTAGGAACACCTCACACCTCTGAGTGTTCTCACTAGTGGGGACTGGCACTAGGAATTCCGCAGACCTGTTCTTTCCTCCCCTGCCTCAACCTCTCTGCCACAAGAGACCCCCTCGAGTCCCCTCTTAAACATTCTGCTTCCTCCTGGCCTGCCCTCCAGCCTCCTGGCCTCCTCCTGGCCTGCCCTCCAGCCTCCTGGCC